TTATTGGTTAAGTCTGTGTGGTGTCTGAATAACAGCGCAAATAAATTTTTTTTCGTAAAAAAATTCATTTTTTTGAAAATTTTTGCCCGTTTGACCTTGAAATAAAGGTCAAAGGTCAAATCCAAGGGCATATTTGAAATCTACACATATGACTTTTGGAAAGCCGTCTGTAGAAATTTTTCCCATAATTCCTTCCGTAGGGTAGATAATTAGCATTTAATTTTGCCATTTTTGGACAAGGGTGCATTGCAATGAGTGCCACACCTAGACCCCAATACCGATAAAGCCCAAATTTTACGTGGAACGAGTTGAGATTATAGGTGACCTAAATCCAAGAGATGGGTATGGGGGCCCTTACCGTCTAGGAGGAGAAGCGGTAACGGTAACATGGCGGCGGAGCCGCAGGAGCCGGCGGAACGGACCGGACGGGACCAAAACCATGTGTACCGCCAGCGCTAACGCTGGTGGTACAATAAATATTTTACAAGTTCACAGTCAAGAAGTCTATCTGCAGATGGTGTAGTGGATTGAACTTTATTATTTGTTAATGAGGACTGACAATTTGTAAACCATATGCATAAATACCGGCCACTACTTAGTATTACTTAAGATACTGAAATCAATTATGTAATAAGTGAAACTTTACACCAATTCAAAAATAAGAACTGACTGTAACAAAAACATGCATTCAAATCATAACAATATCTTGATAGTCTGAGCAACACTCATGCAACCAATGTGATCAAGCGAGGTTTTCTCTAAGATAAAGAAAGCAACACCCCTCACATCATTCACTCAAAACAACAAGAACCAGACAATATAAATATTTCCTTTGATATGTCATATAAAAATGTTTTCTTTGCAATATAAAATACTGTGCAAAGTTGGCTGCTGTTTTGAAGCCTCAGCAACAGAATACTTTTTTTAAGTGCCAAATTTTAGACATCTCAAAGCTACAGAATATATGATAAGCTGTGTAAAGTCCAAAAAGCCAGAAGCCAATTTTATTGACCTCAGTGCACAAAACAAGCCACTGTGACTCTAAGCACTAGACAAGAAAAACAACAATTTTTTATTAATCCTACCAGCCACACCAAAGATGGCATAACAAGGTGGATTCATACAGAACTGCCCAAGACATGAATAAACACTTTAAAATTACATCATCTGATCACAAAAAAATTACCGCCTGGTTGAAGACTAGAAATAAAAAAATGACAAAAAGTTCTGCAGATTTCCAGCCCGAACCAGATAGCCAAGAAAACACCTATCTTACCTCCAGGATACACCATCCGCCTGTTGATCAATGTGCTGTCCCTTAACGAGTTGTCCGCAGGTGGTGGTTGGCTCCCTGGTGTCCTCTGGCGGCGATATGTTGGATCTAAGGCAGCAGCGATGTTGATGGCACCCCCTGGGTATTCATGTGGGGGGCTTTGTGACCTGACGGGAGATTGGTTGAAAAATTATCGGTTAGAACTGTATCACGATTGTTCATATGTTAACTATGCCAATACAGTTGGACATGTGCAAAATAATTATTTATAGATATTTTTTGTCATAACAGAGAATAAACCTAAAACCATTTTTGTTGTTTTGACACAGATAAGACATTATTCAACTTGATGGAGAAGACAACTGTCTACTGTAGTGCAAGGGCTGATTTAATTGGAAATTATTCTTATGAATTATACTCATTCTTTAAACACTATATCAAACAAAATATAAAGAAAGAGAATGTTAACATATCAACATAAAACAATTTCAGATTCAAAGTCCACACTTAACCAACCTCTGTGATTCAAACTCATCAGACTGGTGATCAAGATCTTCAAATGGCGGAAGTGGTGGCGGTGACGGTGACATGCGTGGCATAGAATCATGCTGTGAAGAAGGCGCAGGAGAGTGATGTGGTGGCGATGGCCTGCTGTTTTCTAGCTCGGCCCCAGCGCCAGTCACGGCCAGCTCCAGTTCCCAGCGCGGGCGCTGACCTGCTGGGATAGGTGGAGGAGGCATGCTGGGAGGGGGGGCCCTTGTGCGACCAGGGGAACGCTGAAAAAAAATAAACGACAAAATATCTAGTCTGACTCTGATACCATATATAAAACAAAGAAAATATTTAAACAATAGTGAAATAAGTTTAAACTGGTGCCCATGAATACAGTCCACTATCTGAGTGCAAGGGTAAAAACATCTGAACACAATACTTTAAGTTCACTTTTCATCAAAGATGGCAGCAAAAAATCACAGCACTAAAAAGAGCAACCACCTCCTCAAGTCATTTTAATTCGAATTTTGAGAATATCTGAATGCGATAGTGCCACATCTTGCGCCCACAACATGCTATCCATTGTCCCTTTTTTTTTACGTTGAAATACTCACTGCATCCTCCAATGGTGAAGAGTTATCTAGAGACACCCGTTCTGGTAGCGGGGGTGCTCTGTAGGCAGGTGGTTTGTCTGGGCGATAATCATGAGAGGGCCCCGTAGGAACGCTTTTTGACCTGGCTGCCGCAGGATGCCGAAACTGAAGAATATAATAGACATGTTTGGAATAATTTCATCAAATATTCACCTATTAACTACAAAGAATATAGTTTTTTTTAGAGAGACAGGGAGAGAGAAAGAAGAGGAAAAAAATGCTGCTAGGGTCTTATGGATATTTTCAGATTTAATACTGTAAAAGAAAATTTTGTAAAAGGAGAAGAAAATTTAAATTATTGGTGAAGTGAATGGTGCTGAGTGATGAGAGAGAGAGAGAGAGAGAGAGAGAGAGACAGAGAGACCCACCTCTTCAGATAATTGTCTTGAGTGTGGTTGCTGCATAGAGGCCTGTCTGTGTTTCTCCCTCACTTTCCGAGTCTTCAACCTCTCCTCTTCTTGAATAATTCTTGCCAGTTCCTCATCCTGTTGCTCAATTTGCTTCAGTTTTTCTTTATTGGTGCTAGCACCTCTCTGAAAAATAAAGGATTCAAATGGACCCTCAGAATTGTCAGTTATCACATTTATTTTTGTCATATTTTAGATGAAAAAGTTGAAATCACTGGCTCTTTAGAAACACGCCCAATTCATGACTCAAGAACCCCCTCATGCCTGAAACCTTTTTATCAGTACATTTTGACACCAGCTTGTTACACTACCCATGTTGAATGACATATTATATTTATTTTTTTACCTTATGTTCTTGTTCTTGTATGAGTCGGGCCAATTCCTGCAAAATACATAGCAACTGAATAATATTAAAATGACTGAATACAATATGCATTATTATTAATCCCATAATGCTCAACATGGTGAAGTCATTTTTCAATGCACTGTTAAGTTTAGGTCATGAATTATTGGGACAAGTTCACTCTCAACATCTTAAATGCATATCATATTATACAGTACTGTACCAGACTTATAATTATTTTCTACTAAGTCCCCTTAAGTCATTTTAATTCCATTTCCTGTCACATGACCCACCTCATCCTGCAGTTCTTGTAGCTGTTTTGACTCATCTGCATCCATTTCTGGGGCAGGTGGGATGTAAAAGTCACTGAAGTCTCCAGAATCTTCTCTACGACCATCATCTCTTGTGTGTCTAAAAAACAGGAAAACAAAACTAAAAATAAAAACATAATATGATAATTTAAGGAATTTACCCATATCTTTGAAATCACGGTGATGGTGCCTCTAATATTTTTAATTTTTAGTAATGATTTTAAAATTAATGAAAAGAGTTAGTCCAAGACTAAAAAAAATCAATAAATAATACTTGGCACTATTCAGTTCCATACCCAGTCGTAGGTGACATTTCTCTGCTCTCCTGTGCAATCTGTTCTTCAAGACGCTTCCTTTCTTTAGCCAGGCGCTTTTTCTCCTGATACCTCTCATAGCGCCTCTGCTCTTTTTCCTGCAGCTTCCGAGCAATGTCCTGAAACAACAGATTGACAAAAATTAATTCCTCCTATATATGGTACGCACAGGGTACATTAAAAGCCACCAAAACAAATAAAAATACTTCCCAAACCAATGTCATTATTGTGAAAACTTGGTAAATACTTTCCTCAGTGTTCCAAATCTGTAATTAATAACAGCTTAATTTTTTGTCCATTTAAAACAATTTGAAATTTATAATTCTTATCAAAAATATTATTATTATTTTTTAAATGTTTTAAAAAACACCACTTAGGATGAGTCGAACGTATCTTTCATATATGAAGAAACTGTAACACAATGGTTAGTATCAATGACCAATGATTAGATTGGATTCATTAGATTATGCCCTCAAGCAACTTAATAAAAATTCAAATAAATCCGAGTCAATCTAACCCAAACTAACATGCTGTAACTCAAATTAAAATAAATAACAAAAGAAATTATAAGAAATTAATTCTAAAACAGGTTTACTATAGTTCTATCAAATTATGTTTTTCTTTTTGATATTGATATTCGAAATATCTTTTACACCTTATTTCTGCTCATGTATCAAATTTTTTAAATCTAACAACAGATAATGTATTACTAAATAATTAAAGATTTTCAAAGTCATAATGCTAGTTCTGAAATGAAATTAGAGTGTCACATTAGGGGTCTATATTATATATATTATATATACAGTAATGTACAGTCAATAGTTTTGTTTTTAAATTAGATAATAGATATTCAAGAGCACTGGCATCAAATGCTATTGATTTTGCATATCCAGTGAAACCTTTGTTTTTGGCTTTCAAAAACTGCTAGGTAATATTTCCCCAGGTGAAATTAATCCATAAGAAGACATTGGTTTGTTTTTTCCATCGTTGATTACATTAGGTCCAAACAATATTTAATGTAAAATGTCCTTGATGGTTTTGGGAAGTAATTTTTTTTTTTTTAGATATTTACATACGAAGCTCAATTATACCACCAGATGGTATTGCATTCCAATAAAGGCCCAATTTACAAAATAACAACAACAGTTTTGCAAGAAAAGTCAATATTGATCAATCATAAAATCACACTGAAATCATACTCTTTGACACCATAACGTTTTCCCTTCTAAAACTGCAATATTCAAAGCATTATGCTATGCAGTCAACTAAAAGCACTACAACCCAATCTCCTTTGGTTGGTCAATAAAAAAGCGATAAGCTTTTATGCATGCCTCGTAAGCGACTGGAATAAAGATCTGTTATGCATGAGGGTGCCACTGAGGATGTTCATGAAAGGTGATGCATTTTCCAACCTCCTTTAGAGCAGGGTCAAAGGTCAAGGACAGTGCACAAGGTCATTGACAAGACTTCCAATGCTGGTGCCATCATGCTAAGAGTGATACATTTTTGCATTATATTTTTACAATCTAGTTGACAGTGATCATGATACGGGGGTAGGTTGTGTATAGATATTTGACAATAAGACTTGTGGGGGGGGGGGAGCCATATATTTATATAACATTAAATTTAATGTAAGTAGTTTTAGATATTTTTTTCTTTTTCAAACACAACATAGGAGATTTTTCAAAGCCAACAGACAACAGTTCAAACATTGTTCATTTTAAGGCCAAGTGACACTCAAACCAGCAAATTATTGTTGTTCCTTCTGTCAGATTTTTTAAAATTCAACATAGCATTTGCCAAATCATAATTAAAACATTTCTCACAAACAAGCATGGAAGGCAAGTGCAAACAACATAACACAATGACCTTGACCTTTATGTGCTTAGAACATGCAATTATTTCAATGAGGTCAAAGGTCAAGTGAGGTAGAGGTCACCTCATCCGTCTTTCCAATAGCCCTCATCTGGCTTTCACCCTCTTCACGACGCTTCATTTCAGCTTCGATAATCTCAAATTGGAGCTGACGGGCCTTTCTCTGCAGGGTAGATAAATGACAAAAAAATGTTTATGATTTATGTGTATTGCGAAATTAAATTTGCCGAATGTAGCTTCTTGACAAAATATTCTCATAAGCTAGAAAATAAGTTTCAGTAAAAACCTGCTATGTACTAGTAACTGGAAGTGGGTTAAGAATTAGGTACAAATAATAAATGCAGTGAGGGGCAATTATTTTTATTTGGACTCTGATCAAAAATTGTAATGAGAGTGACTTTCAATCCAAATATCCTATAAAGAACTGTAATTTCAAGGGGTCTTTATAATACCTGAAACAAAAGAAATGCATCTTGGTAATTTTTCAACAAATGTTCCCCCTGGCAACAAAAGCAGTGTATCTATACTGATGTATGCTTTAATGACTGTGCATAAAATACTGTATGATATATAAAGAAATGATAGTTATATAAATAAAAAGTACTCCATAATATGTTTGTTAGTAATTTCAGTGCACTTCTATTGAAAAAAAAGTTTTACATAGATACTTTCTATGGTATGTATGGAAACCATATTATACAATTGATGATATCCGAGCTCTTTACAATAAGCAAAAACCTGTTTTTTTTTTAAGCTGAGACTAAGCATAACATCTTTTACAATAAATATATACTTTTAGAAATAAGGCATTTAAAATTGAACAAGTAATTAGTTAGCACATATAATGCACTCAGTACTAATATTCACATAAAAATGTATGTCTGACAAACATTACATTTACCACAAATGGTTCATGACTAAGACCAAACTGACAATTATCTAGGGGAAAAGAATCCGAAATGCACATTCACCACACACATAATTTAGGGTTAATACCTGTTTTAAAGCATACACATAAGTTTTCAGCATCTGTTTTGGCAAGGTTAATACTGATATTTCTCTAAAATATTTACTAAGTGATAATTATTTGTAATAGCCAAGACTTACAGAAATAATAATCTTTCACATCCAAATATATATCAACTTTTAAATTTGGCAGTCTCCTTAACAATCTCATTTTTTTTTCGCATTTTTAAGTGGCAATTCTAATGGGAAATTTGTTTTTCATACTTTAAAACATTTATCATTTAAATTTTAATTTCTCCATTCAAATTTGTACAGGTAGGCAAGGGAGGTGCAGGGGATTTCAAACCCCTCCCCCCCATTTTGGTCAGAAGAAGACCCACTTTGAAGTCACTAGCTACAGGCCTGGGAGACATTAAAATAATACAGATGCTGAGACTATACATGCATTTTTTAATGCGATAAAGAATTAAAACACAGTTTCACTAGAAGAAAAGTTGTCTGTATTCTAAAGCAATGAAACTACATGCAAAAAACAAAACATCAAAATACCTCATCGTCGAGTGCCAGACGCTCCATTTGACGTTCTTCTTCCTCCATCTGTAACTGTAGGGCTCGCCCCTGGAAGTGCATGGGGGGATAAGGAGCTAGCCTCACTCTAGCATATATTGGTTTTTCACTATAACCTAAAATTTCCCCCCAATTGTTTTTTTTTTTTTCCGATGCAGTGACAATTTGGCAGAAAACATTAAAACTGTTAAGTAACAAAATTCAATTACATAATTTTAGTTTTTCTTTGCCAAAATATATAATTTTCACTATATTAATTACCCTAATTTGCTATTTGAAAAAAATTGGTCATGCTAGTGTGAGGCAAGAGGGACATGGTTCGCAAGCACACAACACTCAACTATAAATGGCAAGCAATTTTAAGCCCTGTTAACACTGATAATAGGTCAACCCTTCTTGGTGCAACCTTGGTTGGGTACCCTGAAAATTATCATCAACCGCAGACAGTTCTTTTAAAATAACTATCTGTTATCCGGTCTACTCATAGGCAATGTACCTTAATTATTTTAAAGAATACAGCCATTATATTTGCTGCCAATGACTTATGAAAAGAAGAGCTGTCCTATCTTCAATGTAAACACGGCTTTCAAAAGCAGCCTGCCTATGGGAAAGGCCACAACAACATTTTAAAATTGGATCCTAATATAACTAGTTTACAGAAATGTGACACGGAGCAGTGCACATTCAGAACAGAGGATCTGCGGACCAACTGATCCGCCGACTAAATATGGCAAAACGAAAAGCAAATAGTTAAAATGTCTTCTTACTAAAAATATGAACTTTACAAAAATAAATAAAATGGACCCCAAGTCATTTATCAGTTTCATATATTTACTGCTATTTTGTATATTTGATGATTTTCAATTTCACATATCTCAAGATTCTTCATCCACATGTCTACAAGGTTTTGGTTTTCATTCTTTCCAATGCTAATAAGTATTTTTAATATTACAAACTTTCCCTATCAGCAAGGGGAGATATTATCACATTTGCTATCTACTAATACCATACACTAAAAGTAAACATTAAAAAAACATTGACTCTTTCCATAGCTAACATGCAGTCACAACAACACTTTTACTCAACAAGCAAGTTTGTTTTATCCGAGCAAGCCATATCAATACATGTTTAAATTAACAAACTGGAGAGGAAAATATTGATATAAATTCAGTTATAATATTTTTAATTAATTTTTTTGAAATATTTCAATACCAAAGTATGACAAAATCAAATACAGACTTTACTTTTAAACCTGTTTATTGTCTCATAGCTCAAAAGGATTAAAACAAACCCTCTTCAATACACACACACACACACACACACACACACACACACACACTGAATAAGAATAGCAATCAGAAAAATTCTTAATAAAATATTCCCAGAAAACGACCATTGTACCTCGTCTTCAGCCTCGTGCCTGCGTCGTTCCTCCTCCGCCTTCTTCATCTTCTCTACCTGTGATAAATGCACTTTCCTGGCCACCTCTTCATCCTCTCTGGCCCTGAATATTGGTAAACAAATGGATAAATTATCAAACTAGACAGCGATGCTGACAATATGTACAGAGACATATACACCTAAATGGAAAATGACAATGCAGATAATTTGAACCAAAATATGCAAGGATTAATATTTATGTTATTTAGGTTTTAGTTGTTAAATTTACATGCTGACAATTCAGACCAAAATACTTATAACATTGTTATCTTTCAATTTAGAATAAAACTATTACAAACTAGCACTGCACCAGATTTAAAACAGACCACACACACATTGACACCCTCACATACAAGGCAGAGCAAACACATGATCAAGCAATTGCACATACATGTGCTCAATATACACACATGCAGCCATGATCCATCCATACATATATGTACACCTATGCACACACACAAATACATATGCAGCCACATATACACACTTGCCCATGCATGCACACATACATATATGTCCATGTGTGCACACATATCATGCACGTACAAACTACCCATCCCGGCCCAGCTCACCGCTGTTGAAGGCGTTCCAGCTGGAGCATTCTTTCTCTCTGCTGTACAAACTCCTCCTCTGTCTGGACAACTTTGGCCACCTGGATATCCTCGCGCACCGTACGCCGCGTCTTCCGGTTTAAGCCAAAGTGATCTTCAACTACATAAGATAATTGTTTGTGTTAAATTCGACGACTTCTTTTTTATATATTATTTAAAACCAAAAATCAAGTCCCTTCTCTTTAATTATTCCTTTTTAAAATACCTTGAATATGTAAATAAGATTAAAGAGTGCCTTTAAAGACAAAAAAGAACATACATATATCCTATTGAGTGTGTGTGTGTCCCATATCCTATTGTACGCCATAACATAAAAAGAATTCTAAACGATTTCTTACAAACACTGAAGATGATTTATTTTTAGAGGTATTACTGATAAACATTAGAGAGACTACTACCTCCTACAGCTCTGGGAAAAATAATCAAAGAAAAGAGAGTAAGTGTTCTATTGAACAACAAATTAAAATACTGCAGCTTAGGAAACCAAAAGGACGCATGATGTAAATACATGCAAGTTTGGCTGAACTTAATTCACAATTAGAAAATATAAGGGGATATGAAATGAAATGTCTCAAGCAAGGTGGATATGATGAAAAAATTCAAATTTTTTTCTTAATGTTGAAAAGAGACAAATGACTGATTTTGAAAATTTATCTTGGAAATTTATAAGCAATGCCTTAAATAACCTTAATTTTGGTGAAAATATAAGCAGATGGATTGATATTTTTTTCACGGCTTTTAAAATATGCATGATCCAAGGCAGTAAAGGATCATATTTTTTCAAGGTATAATGTGGATGTTGAGAGGGAGACCCAATTTTGCCTTACCTGTTTCTGCTACTATACGTGTACAAATAATGGGAGCAATGTTTTGAAAAAGAAGGGCAGTAAACAGAGTTCAAACCAAAACAGATCCATTTTGATATGTTTTAGCTTAAGAATATTACAATTGTCAGTTTGGAGACTTTTTTCTACACTTAAATTTGTTTATAATAAAAGGATTAAACCAGAGATGCTGCCAACAAAAATGCAAATCATCAAACTACTTTAAATTTGGGTTTGGTAAAAAAAAAAGTCCAATTTCAATGGACCAATTCAAAACCTTATAATTCAGCTCCCTTTTCTTTAAATAAAGGCATGATAATGTAACTCAAATCAGCAACAAATCATTTTTATTGGTCAGAAATTATATCATGTGACCAGCCCCAACTATATTCAGACAACTCACATTCCTCCTCCTGCATTCTGTGAGCCAGGGCTCCGTCTTCGTGGACCAGCCATTCTTGACGGACTGAAAAAAAAAATAGAGAAAAAAATTGATAAAATCTAAAAAATTCAATAAAATTATTTTGTAAGTATTGTCATATTTCATATTCAAAATAATATGGTAGATCTGATGTTGCAACTGTAAATAATCCTTCAATACCACATAGTTGACTGTTCTATGATCTGGTAAATGACATTGACCTTGTATTCATCTTCTTACTTGTTATTTGTCATCAAATTCTTCTTTTGATATATTCAAGAACTGAAAAGCACACTTATTCCTCATTCCTACATTACTAATATGTCAAGGTGGCAATAACCCACAGAATTCAAAGAAAGCAAGAAATATACAATATTATGCTGTCAATATGCACAAATAAATAAATAAATAAATAAATAAATAAATAAATAAATCCACTGTCAAGAAATTCAAAGCCCAATTCATCAAAATTCATAACAAAACACTGTTTTACAAATTACAGAAATCTATATCATTTGAATTCAGTGAGGAATTACCACCGTGACATTATTACAGAAATAACGAAAGTGTGACAATCAAGTACTGTTGAACCTGGGAAATGATATTGCATGCAGACAGCTCGTTACAGTAGTCTCAGTAACAATAGTTACTTATCTCTTGCCCTGTATTTCTGTCTGTAATTCACTATTTCCATATATAAATTGATTGGTATTCAGATACCAGAACACAGCACTTAATACCCTGTGACTCATGTCAACACTAGGAGAAATATAAGCTGTGATACTTTTAAGTTTCTATTTTGAGCTTACTGAATGCAGATAAAAATAAGCGATAAAACATGAACGCATGTCCATTTCGGCCACTAATTTTTGGAAAAGCACATTTATAATGCCATTAAAATTAATGGCAGTCAGTCTAGAAATGGTCAAGTCCTAACTGCTTTGCACCTGCGTGCATACTAGTAAGCTTAAATACAGAGTACTTAGTTGTCTGTCATTTAATCCCATAAGTCTCAATTTGCAAATTCCAACGCTGTGAAATCATAATTATTATTAACTGACTGCAGCTGCACTGAATGTATGGCAGTAAGATCCCTGTGTGTGTATGTGTATGTGTATGTGTACAAATTCCAACGGTTTATTATTATCATAACCTGTAAACATATCCTCAGATAGTGGAGTGTACAGCTGATAAGGTGGTTCTTATGAACACTTTGCCATTCTCTCTCTCTCTCTCTCTCTCTCTCTCTCTCTCTCATACACACACACTCACACTCACAAAGACAATTTCACACACACACACACACACACACACACACACACAGACAATTTTCACACACACACACACACACACACACACACACACACACACACACACACACAGACAATTTTATACACACACACACACACACACACACACACACACAGGTAGGTATTCACTAATGCATATACACATGTATACCAACACAAAAACACGCAAGTATGAAGTCAATGCATGTTTGCACATATACACACATATAGGCATGTAAGCAGTCATTGTGAACACACACACATACACAGCCCGTCTCAGTTTCTCTAATCTGATATCTTTTTCATGATTTCCTTTCTCCCCAAGAACTGTACAGTAATAAAAAATCAATGCGTGACTCATTGATACCAACACTGGTAGAATACGTTACACAAATCAAGATATCAATTAATTCCTTTTCAGACTGCAATCAGGATGGCAATATTAATATCCCCGGGCTGACTGTGAAATCTTAGATGTCAGCAGTTATGAATAATGATGAATTATAATAATACTGTGAATGACCTGGCATTAGGAAGCCTCATTTTAAGTTTTACTGCTGTCATGCCACTTGTAGGATATATATAAATTAGAATGCCTTTTTCATGTGGGGTCGTTCTTGGTATATGTTTGTCATTTTTTATTGATGAATCAAAATCTAAATGCAGATTATATATATTGCACACCTAATATCAAAACCATTTTTTAAATTTTGTGCATTTCTTTATAGTGAAAAGAAAATATAAATTTCTGAAAATAGTCATAAATTATCCGACCAAGAGTTGGGGAAATTTGTAAAAAAAAAAAAAAAAATGTGATACTTTACTAATTCTTTTGGTATTCTGAGTCAGCATCATATCTGTGTTGGCTAAGCTCTACATAATAACAATAACAGATCCACCTTCGTATTCATTTGTATTCAGTCTTGTTGTACAAAGATCAAATTACAAGACACCTACTATAGTATATACTACCAGTAGAGTCATTTCAGTGCCATAGCCCATACTAGTACATATGGGTTTATTTTGGTCAGTTTTCTTCTATATACTGAGGCAAATTTTCACTAAATTTATGATTCTTGAATATTCACACATTTCATTTTATCTCTAGAGGCACAAATATGCTTCAAATTTTTTTAGAGAGTGCATTTATCTATTTTGCCAGTAGGAGAGTGTGAATATTTTCTTTAAGGTACAAGTAGCATTAGTCACACATCTTCATCATATTTCCTAGCTATCTGTGGTTGAGGCCTACAGAGATGATCAGTGTGATAATAATATCTGTTTCAGAATTACAGTCAAGATGCTGGGCTTGCTTATTATATGCTATATAGATAGGGTTCTGCGATTACAGAATATTGACCCAAAAAACAGGTGCACTATTTAAACCTTTTAAGGATCACTCAAAGGTATTTTCTCACTGCCTCTGTAACATCTCCTTCATAACAAATCTCTTCCTATATCATGAAAAAGAAAAACAATGATCTAGAGGCAACTGCATATTCCAGGCACAGAAAACTACTGAGGTGGCATTTTTTTCTTATAAAGGAATGTACATACTCAAATACAGAAATAGAAGAAAAGAGAGGTCACCCTCTACCACCACATACTCACCCACCCATACACACACACAGTGATACATACTTTTACACACACACACACACACACACACACAGCACACACACACACACACACACACACACACACACACACACTACGGAACTTTCACTTAAGTATGAAAACACACACACACATTGTACAACCCCAGTAGAAGCCAGCCTCTGTTCCCTGTAGCGTGAAGGCAGTTGCTAGGGTCAGGACAGGCATCCTATCCAATCAGACTGACACTTCACTGAGGTCTGTTCAGATATATTCCCAGTAAAAGAAGAGGATCTCTTTTCTATTTGTACTGAATTTATGGAAAACACCTTGCCTCCCTGTAGGTATACTCTGACCCTGTCCTCAACAAGGTGCTAGTACAGTAATAACTCCCAGTATTGGAATAGTGAAATTTTTTATTTTTAGTTACACACATGCTAGTCAACATGTCTTCAAATTCTGACACTGTCGACTGCGTTACCTTTAAGAACTTTCAATCTTTATTTTTCTAGTACTACTAACATAAAATTATACAAGGATTATTTTACTTAAAATAATCTAATATTTTTATTTTCAAAGTGATCAATTACTGCAACACTTTTTCATTTAAAATGGATTTATGGCAAACACTCCACCAAGTACCACAACTCTGGAGAAAAATGATACAAATATTGAGGGTGTCAGTCCAGCACCTGCAGAGTTAGGGCAGAGCTGAGGGTCAGACCAGGTATCATTTCTAATCAGACTGACATTTCATTCCGTATGTTCACAAGAGTAGTCTTGTTTCGGGGAATTTTATTTATTTCCACTCTGGTTGAAGGTTATTTCACTGAAGTAGGTAGCACCTGGATTTACAATCTTATTTCGACAAATGTTTTCTACACTGCAGTACTTACTAGTATTAGTTATTTATAAGTGACTTTTATATCACCAGAATGTTAAATTTATTTATAAACAAAGGGACAGAGATTGTTGTTTTTGTATATATACCCAATGTCTTTCTAATCCCACTGTAATAACATTTGCTTTTAAAATTGTGAAAATCCTAAAAAGAAAGAAAAACTCCTTCCATGGTAATTCATTTTCCCTACCAGCTGTTTTAAAAAGAAAGAGGTCTTTTACTTTGCTAATTTGTCATTAAATCTATTTCTCGATGTTTGTGCCTTGGAGTTATTTATTGTGACACGCTTAAACGGACAATCTAGGGCCCAGAGCAAAATAATACAGGTTCAACCACAGGTTCAAGTTAATGGGTTGATGAATCATAAAAAAATTACTTTCATGGCTTAAAAATAAAATATAAAAAGATTACCTTCATGACTCATAACATTCATCTAAAATTCTTTAGCTTTATTTATTTTGTTTTTAAAATATTGATTTGGCAGAGAATTTATGATGGAAACAATTAGTTTTACAAAACTTGTGTCTACAGATAAAAATTTATCTTATACAGTCCATTCCCTGCACAAAATATCCTGCCTTGTCTCTGACATTTTAGACCCCATTCCCACAGACACCACAGGTCAACGTAGACCCAATTCTGAGGAGACTCTTGCTGGGTGCAATCAGTTTAAATGTATGACATGCCTCCTTTTGTGTTCAATGCACAGGTATAATCACCAGTTTTTCTATATTCTACTTAACATCAGGAGGAGGCGTACGTGTCATTCAGTTAAGCTGATTGCAGTCAGCCAGGGATCCTGCAAAGTTGGGTTGATCCATGTAGACCAATTTCTATGGGAATGGAACCTAAAACATCTATTAGAAAACTTACAAGATGTTAGCCAGATATACTTCTAAGGACATATCAACCACCCAGAGTTGTCTCATATGTGCAAGCTGGTCATCAATTCTACAATTTTTGAAGTCCTTCCTTTCGTGCTTTAGCACATCCAGTTCATATCAGAAAATATAAACAGTTAGTGCTAATGCATAAATTTGAATCGCCCATGCCAATAACGACCAATGCTGAGTGGCAAAATATTTAGTTTGAATCAATTAAATAACTCAAACAATGGGTGCCTGCATTACAACTCATTGTTGTGGCTGTTGATTTAACTGTCAAAGTGCCATCAAACTGGAAGACATTCCCTGGTTAAGTAGTGTTTACAAAAATATGTGCGTTGGATTTTACGCTAAATATTGTAGCTCCCTGATCAAAAACTGAAGTCAGACACGGGAAGTCAAGTAAAAGTGCGCCTTGGGTTCAGTATGCACATTTAACTGTTAACCCAACAACATCTCTCTGAATCATACGGCCCAAATATGACCTCATAATGTTATAATGGAGTCGACTTTTCTTTTCACATTCTCAACGCTCACCTCTGTTTACCCTCCCGTCCTCGGGCAAATCTTCGGAGTTTTTGGGGTCAATTCCCTGTCCAGACCGTATCTGAACTTCTGCCATTATGTAGTTTCCGAAAGCGACAGTTAAAGATGAAATACGGACATATTTTCCGTCTACATCGTAGCAACAGTCATCAGCTTTGTTCAAACGTGTTGCTTTCCGCTTTCTTGTGTATGGCGGAAGTAATGTACCGGAAGTGAGAAAGGTGCTTGATAATCTCTAACCCCAAAGCGATGCCAGGCATTGTTCATTCACGCACCTCTATCGATCTACAATTTAGGTTGACTTAAATTATCATAACAATATTTAAGAATTTAAATGAATGCAAAACATATGGTCCTACTATTCACCTGCAAGTTTGAGACTACAGTCACATTTGTGTTGAGGGACTAATTGACCGACAGATGTCATACCAGGCCAGGAGTCAGATGTCATGTAAGGCCAGGAAAATGTAGATTCTTTTCAGTTGAATACGCGAATGTCAGACTTATATCATTTTCTTTAGTGTCACTTTATACAACGTTATTGACATAACACTGCTCGGACCATCCGAAATATTGACCCAGTTTGTTTAATTCAAATGAAAAAAAGAAAAAGCACAACATCGTTCCGAATTTCTTTTTAATTTTTTAAACACTAACTAAACGTATATCGATGATATAATTTTAAACAACAATGTTTGCGTGTGTGTGACAGCATTTTTTTCAATCATAACAATAAGAAGATTTTATTGATATTCCTTTATTGTTGGCCACAAAGCCAAAGACGTGACAAAATTCTGGTCATGTCTTGCTGCATGGGTACAAAGTCACTGAAAGAGCTTAATAATAAATATATATAAACTTTATTATTCCCCTTTTTAGGGAGCGTATAGAGAAGATGGATGAGTCTATTCCACAATGTTTTGCAATGCACTTCTGTTCTTGTGCCGATCGAGTTTTAAAAACTACTAGTAGAAAAACATTGTTGACGCGATTGTGGTAAAACTGGTTCATTTGTCATCAGAAATTTTAAAATTCTAATCCTCTGTATGCGTACGTTTTTGCACGTTTTGCGTAAGTATCACGTCATGAAAAGCCACACAAATAATTTATGTCGAGGCTTACAAGAAGCTGGCCGCAGTGCAAAAAAAATAATAATAAATATAATAAAATAAAAAGGTTAGATAATCATGCGAATTTCTGCAGCAGGTAATAAGATATTGAATGATAAGCATGCCAACAGAATAGTTACGTCTTCCGTGTAATGTCCGTGAACAAGCGGCGACGCCGAATAAAGAATATGATTGCTTGTCATCAAATTCTAGATATATTTTTGCGATGTTCTCTTTTTATTCTTTATTATTACCTCTTTGTCTTCTCTGCATTCTTGTTCATAGAATGAGCGATTTTGCAAGTGCTTCCTACGAAAACTGAATTTAAACTGAGGCCTCGTACAATACATTTATAGCGGGCTAACGCGTGACATCATGAGCAGGCACCTGAAATTACTGCCAACTATATGACAAGCTGAAAATTCTGCCAATATTTCATACCAAAGCAACGACATCTCATTCAATTTGCCGTTGGAAAGAAATTGCCCTTTCTGCATTGATGCCCCGACGTATATCCTAATTTTTTTCTAACATGTGAAATGGTGAAATTGCCAGTTGAAAACAACCGATTTTCTCCACTGCGGTACACCAACAGTGTATCTAATCGCCTGTGTATGTGACTCACGTTATGTTTTAAAGGGATAACAGCTCTTCATATAAAATTCAAATTTCTACAATAAATGCATTGCCAACAACGCATGAAAATATAATAAATTCCATTTTACCACCAAAACGGCGGTTACGAAAACAGCGGTGATCTGTATTTGCCATCGCGCCACGAGGGCCCTCATACATTTTCTGTTCCCCACAATAATCTCTTAATTTTCTAAAGAGATTATTACAAAAGCCACGCTTAAAAAATCGGCTTACTTTCAATGTCTGAACGGATTCATTAACCATTGAAAGTGCAAGAAATTTTCGTTTACCCTAGAGAAAATCTGCCTAAATGAAGAGCGGTCATCCCTTTAATATTTAAAATCTATCAGTTCAATATTGTGAAAGTGCAGTCCCTAGACATTCATATGTCACTTTCAGTACAAATATTGGTCTAATATACAAATGTATAAAGCGCTCCTCAAATTGAAAAATATTTCATTAACTGCCCTGTAGTAAATATTTGTCACCGATATGTACGATGTTCAGCGCAAAAACGTTAATTTGTCCAGATGATAGATGGCTGCACTGTCCTTTCGCTGAATGCGCTATAGATGCCACCACCGTCGAGATTTTCGTCACCAGCCGGCGCTGTCCATTTCTCGCTTCATCTGACACGTGACACACAACGGGCACCACACCGTGGCGCAACAGTCGCCGCATATCGTACCCTGCAGAGAAAAAGCATGGTTTCTTAGCTCGCATTCAGAACAGTGGACTAACTAGTTCGAAGGTCAAATATGGCCGACCCACTTGAATACTTCCCCACGGGGAATTTATTCAGCGTCTATTAACGGATTAGACGGCAAGCTTTCAGTGGGTCGCCATATTTGATCCGCGGACTAGTTAGTCCACTGTTCTGAATGCTGCCTTATTATCTATTTTGCGCAAGCATGATCAATGCATCTCGGATAATATTTTCACGCAAGCGCCACTGACACAGTTTTTACATTAAATAGAGGGAATGAAATTAGGATAAACTGCTTTCGTCGTTAAAAGTATTAAAAATATTTTTATTGGTGGTGGTGGTGGTGGTGGTGGTGGGGCGGGTTTACGACTGTCTCTTACCTCTATGCCCAGCATGGATCTGAGTCGTGTCCTGAGCGTGATCAGTCCCCCAGGGACCATGAAAGGGACACAGCAGTGCTCCCCCATCCTGGTTGACGTCTGGCACGTCAAACACGGGAAACAAAACAGACCACAAAGACCTGGGGGATAGCAGAAAGAAATGTTGCTGTAAACACGACATTATATCATATGTTGAAAGAACTACTAGACAGATATTTGTTACTGAGACAAATTGATGTTCACATACAGATTTAGAATGGTGCACTGAAATGGATCCCTGTTCTAAAACACGTCTAACAAAACATGTATTGAACGGAAGGCAGAAACACAAAGATCTGGAAGCAGGAAAGGAACTTTGTATGAAAATAAATTATCTATATTTAATGGTGACGAACTTACGAAAGATGCATTCCTGACTAGACAACATGATTTGGGTACGCGACTCGTGGAAGAGTTCTCCTTGGGACTCGAATTCGTTATCAAATGATTTAACGTATATATTTTAACGAACGTTCCAAGCTTATCAGTTGTGATGGTTTGCTGTAGGTGCGTTGAAGCACAATCATGCCTCCGGTCACTGCTACCACAATTTCAGATATTTGCCCATGCCTGAAAACATGCCCGTTTCCATCAGATTTATCACAACGATAAGAACCCTATTACGTGGACGAAAAACTTATTAAATAGAATTTTGTATTGCACATTGGCTTTTTAACGAGTTCGGGTTATTTTCGCCGGATCAGGACGCACGTACCTGTCTTCCCCTACGTCACACAAATTGAAAAATAATAATTGAAAAATATTTTTTCAATACTTACAACTTTTTACGTCTGAGAAACAGCCAAAGATTCCCGAGGACCAGTCCCTCAGTCCGTCCATCTTCACGGTCCTAGCGCCCCCTGACGACGTGACTTTGACTGTCTTCGTGATTTGCTGCGTCACGGGCATCCTAGAATTCAAATTAATTATTATTTTATTAACTTTGTGTTTTAATACTCAGTTCCTGCAAATTGTTTTTTTAAGTGATATTTTCCTAAATCATATTTGAATAAAACAACAGTTGATATTTTGGTGATGTGTTGGGTCCTGGAATTAAAAAAAATGATAAATATGAAATATGCTGGCTCAAAATATCTAAGGGGATATTTAATACAACGCAGCATTACAGATAGATGATCGACTTAAAACATATATGGATAAAGCTTAAAGCATTGCAAGATGTGGCATATGAGTGCCGCCCTGTGTGCTGCCTGCCTCGAAATTCAATGAAGAAATCAGTATACGTAATAGCTCATTTTGGCACCAAAAAGAAATTATCAGCGAGATGAAAAATCTAGTTACACAACTTTCACTACAGGTGATATATTTGACCCAGCTACCTGAAAAGATACATAAACCCATTAAAAGTACAAAAATCATATTTTCTCATGAATAAAATAACAACAACAATTATCGTACGGCTCCCAATTTTGTATTGCCCATTTGCACCATGCAAATGCAATAAAATCTGTCGTTAAGTTGATCATAGCGGACAACTTGATTAATTCATTCATTGAATTCGTAGACAAGGCATCAATCTACACGCCATACTTCTTCGAATGTGCATACTAAGCATTTAATATGCTATTGACAAAGATTGGAAATGGACATGATAAATAAAATCAATGTTCAAGTTTCTCGCAATATTGACTTGCATACGCAGTGCAGTGGTGTAGTGAAAAGTGCTCGTAGACTATCCTGTATACGTTGTCAAAAGGTTTTAAAAAAGATTAAGATATATACAATGACAAAAGCTATAATACACAGGGGCGGATTTAGGCCATCTTCTGGGTCTTCCGGAAGACGGTCAGATTTTCAAGTTTACATTGACGGGTATCTATTTTTTTTCTGTTGGAAGACGGTCAAAATTGGAGGATGAATCGAAAAAGATAATTTGGAAGACTGTCAGTAAATAGCTCTGGATCCGCCCCTGATACATAGATTCAAATACAATGACAATGGGTCTTACGCGATCACGGGCCAGACAATTGTAATAAGTTTTGTACTGATTTGCCGGACATGGTTTCTTAAATTAAAGTACATACTAAGGTCTAGAGCCCATTTAGTATTGGTATCACATAAAACACTGTATATCCACTAGTTCTTATCACAATTTCTGCATAAAAAGCATACAATCTCCGGCTCATATGGAACGTACCAAACGAATAGATAAGTGGGTTTACGTTACGCTGTGCTTGTGACTACTAATTTTACGGTGGGTTTCCTTATTCGTGGCCCTAGTCGGTAATTTTGTCATTTGTGCTAAAAAACTAAGACCTGAACAAAGTTGGTGATATCGTTTCTCAAAAGAAAGGACAGTAAAGCTACGATCTCTTGACTTGAGAGAATCTTATAATGTCGGCAATAGGCCTACCATACCAGTAGGTCTCAGAAAACATAGGCCCGTTATTTTGTATGTTTTGTAATATTATAACAAGAATTTTCTACTAATGTGAATAGAGTATTGTCGAAAACGAGCTAAATTCTCCAAAATGGAACAGCATTACAATGCGTTAAGGAAAAACGCTAAATATAACCTGAATAAATAGCTCCAACCTTTAATGTGTACAACTGATAATGCCATAACCTATACGGAAAGGTACATTGTATATATTGCTACCTGGTATCACGCTGGCAAAATAATTGTTTTTGGAAAAGAGCTACATCATCAGCCAAATCAAATGATTAAGGCAGAACCGTAGAACATTGGAGAGATATACCCCAATAATTCTTGTGTTTTATTCCACAATCAAATTAGTATTGGCCACTGTTGAAATCGGCCATGCCGGTGTGACAGGAATGGTAGTCCTTGGAATGAAAGTCCGGGGTCCCGGAGTATTGGGGTTAGTATATGGGACGAATGTCACCTGTACAAAGTAATGGGGAACGGACCACGGTTCCTTGCGGACTACCATTCCTGTAACACCGGCATAGTGTACATTATCAACGCGAGGCAGTGTTAATGCCATTGCCATTGCCAGTTAATGGTACCTGTTCCAGTTAAACATGTTCTTAGACTCGTTCTGGTTCTAGATTTCCCCTGCGGATAAACAAATGACTTAAGTAATCATCACGTAGACTTAATGCCAAGCAGCATGTCATTGCCAGTAGCAGCATTGCCAGCAGCAGCAGGCCCGTAGTCGGGG